GGAGCCTAAATAACAAAATGGGGGAACTAGAGGCAATAGCATAGACTAAACAATATGACATAATAGGCATAACTGAAACATGGTGGGATGAAACACATGACTGGGCAGTTAACTTAATTCGTTACACGTTATTTAGAAAGGACAGAAAAAACAGGAAAGGTAGTGGGGTATGTTAACTATGAGTTAAAGCCAAATCTTAAGCAAGTGGAATGTGATGAGTAAGATGTGGAAGCTTCATGGGTAAATATCTGCTTGGGGCAAAAAGGGAAATCAACTATTGGTTGGGATATGTTATAAACCACCTAATGTTAATATTGACGAGGAACAATAGCTGAGCAAATTGAGAAAGCTGCAAATCTGGGTAACATGTTAATTCTTGGAGGTTTTAATTACCCAGGCATATATTGGGACAGAGGGACTAGTAGTTCAGCAAAGGGAATTAGGTTTTTGAACTTGTTAAATTACACCTTCATGTCACACCTTGTACAAGCACCAACTAGAAAGGACGCTTGTCTGGACCTGGTTCTAACAAACAACGTTGATCTTTTGACCAACATTCAAGTAGGTGAGCACTTGGGAAATAGTGATCACAATATAGTGTCCTTTGAAATAAACTCAAAACAAAAGCATATGGGGTATACTAAAACATCTCTCAAAAAGGTCAATTTCTATAAGTTAAGGGCAGCGTTACAATATATTGACTGGCATTAACTCCTTAGTGAAAAGAACACTGAGGATAAATGTTACATCTTCCAACAAATATGAGACAGGTACATTTCTCAGTATGTACCATTGGGTAATATAAAATAAACAAACTGAAACCTGTCTTTAAAGCCTAGCTAGATATAACTCGTTGCATATGCCTTCACCCACAAAAATTGCCTACATGCGGATGTAGCTAAGTTCCATTGTATTGCTTGGTGACATGGGCAGGAATGGTTCGCCTCACGTTACCTGGGTTCATAATTTTTTCTGTTTTATTGATGCTGACTCGTTTTAAATGTTTAACACAACTGCATAGGCACCCACACTTACAACACGTACCTAAGCAACAAGATCAAGCAGATGCCGATTAACAAATCCGCTTAAATACCTTAAGCGAGGTACAACCTCTCAGACAACATTACATAAAGGCTCTTAGCCTATACATACACAAACAGTGCCCTTTTGATATGGCTGGCAAGCACTTACTCCTACTCATTTAGAAATGTTAATTTCCAACTAGTCTAACATAAGCATAAACCTTTTTACATCGACCATACGCTCACAACCTGTAATGTTGCAATAGAAAAATGTGTTGCACCTTCCACATGCTGACCAATTGTTAATATCTGTTTGGTATCATGCTTGTCAAAGCTGTTGGGACATGACGAGCCCACTTGATATATTTACATGCACACCATGACATGATATAGCGCATAGTTATTAGATGCTCCGGCTTATTTAGCACTGCCTGTCTTGGCATCACTTTGATATGCCTGTTTTTTCTTTTGTTAAATCTTTTTGGTTAAATCGTGAATCTCTCACTCAAACAAAAAACAAAGTGCAACGCATAACGAACATGTCACCAGAATTGTCTTCATTTGCCTACTACTGTAATATTATGTGACAACCTTGACAAATGTACCTACCAATGCACTTTCAAAAATAAAGAATTGAAAAAAAAAAAAAAATAAAATAAACAAACTGAAACCAATGTGGCTTAGTAGAGAAGGAAAACAGATTAAAAATAAGAAAAGGGCATTTAAATCGGACAAATCAAAGGCATCCTATAAAAGATATAAGGAAGCCAGTAATGTGTGCAAAACGGTGATTAGATTCGCTAAACTTCAAAATGAAAAAATGATAGCCAAAGAGAGTAAAACCAACCCCAAAGCATTTTTAGAGTACATGAATTAAAAAGAAAAAAAAAATTCAAGTGTAGGTACACTAAAAACTTGGATGGGGTGTTAGTTAATGAAGACCGGGAAAAGGCAGAAATTTTAAATAACTATTCCTCCTCTGTATATATTAAGGAACCCAAATGATTGCTGCTAAAAACTTGCAGAAAAATTGTAACTGGCTAACTCAAGACAAGGTGCTGCAGCAACTAAAGAAAGTTAATATAAACAAAGCTCCAGGGCCTGACAGTATTCATCCACGAGTACTTAAGGAACTAAGTGTAGAAATAAGTGAACCTCTGTTTTTAATCTCTCAAAATTATTTTCTTTCAGGAAGAGTTCCAGAAGATTGGAGGAAGGCAGATGTGGTTCCTATATTCAAAAAGGGTTCAAAATCCTTGCCTGGAAACTATAGACCTGTGAGCTTAACTTCTGTGGCTGGAGAAGTATTTGAAAGGTTATTAAGGGGTAATATTCAAGAATTCCTTGAGAAGAACATGGTTATCAGCAAAAATCAGCATGGTTTTATGAAGCACAGGTCATATCAAACTAACCTAATTGCATTCTACGAAGAAGTAGGTAGAAGTATATATCAGGGTGTTGCAGTGGATGTGATTTATTTGGATTTTGCCAAGACATTTGATACATAGAAACATAGAATGTGACGGCAGATAAGAACCATTCGGCCCATCTAGTCTGCCCAATTTTCTAAATACTTTCATTAGTCCCTAGCCTTATCTTATAGTTAGGATAGCCTTATGCCTATCCCACGCATGCTTAAACTCCTTTACTGTGTTAACCTCTACCACTTCAGCTGAAAGGCTATTCCATGCATCCACTACCCTCTCAGTAAAGTAATACTTCCTGATATTATTTTTAAACCTTTGTCCCTCTAATTTAAGACTATGTCCTCTTGTTGTAGTAGTTTTTCTTCTTTTAAATATAGTCTCCTCCTTTACTGTGTTGATTCCCTTTATATATTTAAATGTTTCTATCATATCCCCCCTGTCTCCTCTTTCCTCCAAACTATACATGTTAAGATCCTTTAACCTTTCCTGTGTTCAAACTCAAGGAAATCGTCTGGATGAAAATGCTTATTCTTGAGTAGAACATTGGCTTAAAAATAGAGTACAAAGAGTTGTCATTAATGGTACATTTTCAAGCTGGACAGAAGTGGAAAGTGGTGTCCCTCAGGGTTCTGTTCTGGGACCCCTTCTATTTAACGTGTTTATAAATTATCTTGAAAAAAACATTGCAAGTCATGTTTTAGTGTTTGCAGATGACATAAAACTCTGTAAAGTAATACAATGTGAGCAAGATATTACTTTGCTGCAGAGGGATTTAGATGGGGGGGGGCTGGGCACTTAAATGGCAGATGAATTTAATGTTGAAAAATGCATAGTTATGCACTTTGGAGTAAAGAATGCACAAGCAACGTATACCCTTAATGGAAGCGAATTAAAGATAACACACGAAAAGGACTTGGGAATTGTTATAGACAACAAACTATGCAACAATGTGCAATGTCAATCAGCAGTGGCTAAGGCCAATGAGGTATTGTCATGCATGAAAAAAGGGCATTCATTCTCGGGATGAGAATATCGTTTTGCCTCTTTATAAATCACTGGTTAGACTACATCTTGAACATGCTGTGCAATTTTGGGCACCTGTTCTAAAGAAGGATGGCACTAGAAAAAGTGCAGAGGTGGGCTACAAAATTATTAAAAGGAATGGAACATACAAGCTATGAAAAAAGGTTAACAAATTTAAACCTTTTGAGTTTAGAAAAACGTC